GCTTCCTTACTGTTTCGTTGATTTTTGACGCAAAAAATAAGTCGCAGAAACAAATACGACTGATAATTTCGTTAATTTTTAATCTGAACAAAATTTCAAAAATAGTTCGAATTGAACAAAAATGTGAGTAGGGTTAACAAGAATCTTCGAAGAAGGAATACAATGAGAGGTGATCATGAAAGGCTATCGAATGAGTGATAATAATAATAGATTAAGTCATGATATGCCATATAAAGATCAAATTGAAATTTTCGGAAAAGATATTAGTTTACAAGGAAGAAGGAATGATATTCTAATAAGGCATGTGTTCATTATACGTTAATCTGAAAGTCCGTATTAAAAGGCATCGCATTTCATTGAATGAAATGGAAGCAATTAATGAATGGTATGAAAATATTATGATAATTACTAATTAAGGAAATAGTATGTTCAAAGGATAAGCAAAGTATTTCAAAAGTTTGCGAGAGAAATGCTAAAAATGGAAAAGATCGTAGGAGAAGTTAAAAAAGGAAAGAAAAATTGGAAGGGTAAAAGTGTATGACAGTGATTTTAGAATAATTAAAACATATTTGGAACAAATTTCTGCACACTTAAATTAAATCAGAAAGTGCTATGACTTATTAGCATTTTCATATGCTGACAGATACATCGGCTGAATTGAACATTTTTCATGAAATTTTCTTCTATTCCAACGATTCTGTTTCTTTTCTAATCTCATTTTTTTGTTCCCTTTCAACAATTCTTTATTTGCATACTTTTAAAATTTATAATTTGCAATTCTGAAATAATTTTGTGTATTCCACATTTGAACTTTTTGGAAATGTTCGCTTATTGAAGCAGTGAAGTTTATTTAAAGGACTAAAATATATTAGATATGACATACGACTGGATCGATCGCGCTATTTCAGGATTAATATTTTGAAAACTTTGGTGGTCAAAACTTCCAAGCAAAAGAGCAGCTATATATTCTAGATAACCGCGATAATCCTGCTGATCAAAATTCATAAAGATTAAATAATCTATCTGTATAAATAATAACCCCTTAAAAAAAGAATGGCCAATTAGCCCCATTTCATTTTTGGCTATTCAGTGTTTGTTTTTTGTGTTTTAAAAAGTTTATTTTGTTTTTTATGTTTGATTTTTTACCGCCAATTTTCACGATACTTTTGAAGTTACCAATTAATGGAGAAATGGAAAATTTAAAAATTCTATAAGTTCGAATTAAACTTATCTGTTTTATTTCGCATAGGTGCATTTTAATCGATTGCATTAGGAAATTTAATCCAAATTCAAAATATGATACTATAAAAAGTTTTTTGAAATTCATTTCGAAATTTCATCTGAGTATCGAGTTAAGAATTTTAAAATAATGCTCTTTTCTAATGTAAATGAAATGTTCCCTTTTATTGAAATATATACATTCATGTAAAGAAATTGGATTCAGAGTTATGGTAAATTTGAATAGAATTCGTAAGGGTTGTTGTAAAACTTTTTAATTTAAGGTAAGCTTATTGTTTTTATTTGTGGTGAAGAATAAGTTTATTGTTCTTCACGTTATAATATAATTATCAGACAATATTATCAGTTGAGTTGATCAGTTGATTATTCTTCTTAACCGTTAATCCGGGAGAATGATTTGGGAACATCTGTTGAGGAATTGAACTAGATAGGTTTTTTGTACATGGGATGATCACTTGATTTGGTAACAATAAGTTACACTGAAATATGCTCCTTTCGAGTCTGTGACCAGTGTTGGACCTTTCAAGTCTGTGAGCAATTGATCTTCTTGTATATGCAGTAATGGTACAACAAAAAGATCATAATATCATTTGATATGAGAGAGTAATCGTAAACATTAGTGATGTTTGTTTATAAGTGGATAGACAATAAAAGTGATGATCAAACAAAGAATTACTTGAATATGTAATCGATAAAGCCGATGGTAAAAGGTGAGCTATTTGATGTTAATTATTTACAGTATTCCTTAGAACAATGAATTAAGACATTAAATAAATCTGTAATATAAACAACAAGTGCATTAGGATACATTGATTATTTTAATATTATGAAATTATTTCGGTTTTTCGACAATAACGAAAGTGCTAAATCCTCTAGCCGAGACGTTTTGTTTTTGTCGGAGTTAAACCTTTTGCAGTACTTGTAAAGTTTGTGTAACGGTAGGTTCTTCCTATTATCGATTCCCTGAATTGATTTGTCGACCGCTGTTGATCAGTTTTTTGAACTTCCTTCATCGTTGATTTCGGGGGATACACCATATTCAGTGATCTGCTGAGAAGTCTTCCGTAGGCCAATTTTATTGAGACACTAACTTCATCTCTTTTTCTTCTAATTTCTTTTATCCTGGCTAATTTCTACACAAACGGGAACTTTTGGTTTCTTCACTAACACATTTTCTCCCTAACAAGGTGTTCTTACGTCTACAATTCTCGGAGAAATGTGTTCTTTGTAAGTTCGTTCTCGAAAACTGGTTGAATAAATTTCTCAAAATATATTTAAGGCTTCGGAAGTTTTTGACCAATACTTAATAAATCATTGGTACTTAATTTGTGAGGAGGAAATCCTTCCTGATCATTGAAGTAACAAGGGATGCATTAATCGAGATGAAATCAATTAAACATATGATAATTTTCAAAGTTTGCGTTAGTGGTCAAATATTCGCTAATAGCCTTCTATTTTTGCTACTTTTACTATTAGCATACCTTCTATTCATTCTCTCATAATAAATTCCCACCAGTGGATCTTCCTTCTCATTACCATTTGGTTATTCCAATCTCATTAATTCCTCCACTTCATGGAACTTCTCTGGAGATAGATTTCATTTCTTTATAATGTTGGAGTGCTATTCGGGTTTCTTTAATTGATAATTTACATTATCAGCATAAGATTTCTTCTATATCGAATATGATTTAAACTTTTCATATCTTTGAATTGGGCAAAAGCAACGTAAATGATTCATAATTTCGTTATCAATTTGCCTTATGTTAATATTTTATGATGGGCAAATAATGTAAAATAATATCAACCTGATTCATGTCTGAGGTTACTTCTTTAATCTTATTTGATTCCATCTGTTCACTATATTAATTAAGTAGCATTTTGTTGGTTTTAAGCCATCTAATCAATATTTTCAATCTTCCAAGACAAAGATCATAGTTATCGCTTAGGATAACTTTCAAATCTTTCCAAGGCTAAGAGATTTGATATCGTCCGCCTTACCTTGTTAGCTCCTTCAATTGTTCGTCATCATGAGTATTAGGTTGTTCCTGAATACCTATAAGTTCTAATTTCCAGAATTGATCAATTTCTCGAGTCATAATCACACCATTTATATTCATCGATTTAATTTCAACAGGATCTTATTGAATTTGATTTGGTCTTTGATGAAAATTATTCTCTTTCATTCTCTTTTTCAAAATGAAAAAGATTGAAAGAAAGAGAAAGAGGGGAAGAGGAAGGAATGAAAAATTGGATTTTATTATGTTAGTGAAATGCTTGAAGAAAATGATAATTATAAGCATAAATCATTAATAATTGCGGTGTTATATTTGCGAAGTGACCAATTGATCGCTGTCCACTCTTTTCAATTAGCTTTTGATCACAAAAACATCTGCGCATATCATTTTTTATTTCTTCTTATAAACTGTCATGCATTTCTACATGCAATAAATAGCCCAAGAATATTTGGCAACTGAAGCCAATTTCTAACTTTCCCTAATTGTTGAAAGTAATTCGAAACTTATCTACAAATATTCAACTTATCAGTCGATTTATTTTACATTAATTTGTTTAACTCGTTCATCTTAGCTTACTCATTTCGATACTTTCTCAAATTAATTCAACATTTTATTTCTCATCATAATTTCATTTTTATCAATTTAATTGTCTAATACGAGAGAGAATCACAACATCAATCATTTCCGTTAATTGATCTTTTGGATAATTTGAATTAATTGTTTTCATTCTATCAAAACTTTTTATTTATCAACGATTCATCTTTAGCTTTACCTAAGATCTAAAAGAGTCAACAAATCTATCGCAAACTAAAATATTCTTTGATAATTAAAGAAATATCCACGGATTAGATTATTGATGATTTTGATCGTCTTATCTTCTACCATTCTTTTCTCTTAATGATTTGACCAATTATTATTTTATATGTGAAATGCAATCTATTCTTTCATAGCAATAAAAGTTGTTTATCAAACTACAAAAGTTTGCTCAACTACAAATTTAATTGATAGAAAAACTTTAACAAATTTTTATATTTTACAAGAAAGCTATTATAACTTTTTTCGCTTTCATATCGCCAACTAACTCATAATATTAAATAAGAAAAATTCGTTATAATCGCATAATTGAACAATAGTTTCATTACTGCTAATGCTTAGTAAGGAAAACAAAGACCTGAATAAGATAAAAGTAAGGAAAAAACAGACCTGAAGTTATATATTTTGGCTAATTTTTGACCTGTGACCTTCAAATTGCCAAATAAATTTATCTATATTCGAAGATTTTAGAAGAGAAAAGACTTTCAATCGCTATAAGTCTTTTTTGTCCAAGGTAGTATCCTAATAGTATTATACTATTCCTACAAGTTTCAGCCATCAAAAGTATGATCTGTTATAGATCATACAGAGTAAAACTTAAATCGTAATAGTGTGAAGGAATTTTAAAATTGCATATATTATAACTATTTCATTTATATTCGGAGATTTTGAAATAAATGGCCACCTTTTTTCTAGATGATTGATTGATCGTTTAATGATTAGAAAGTGTAATGCTGAATGATAGCAATATTGATTGATTGATTAACATTTCCTAATGAGAAAAATTAAATCTATTGCACACACTATATTTTACTATTTAGTTACAATATTTTGTAAGGATTGCATCCTTCTGTTTAAAAATAAAGAAGAAGGAAAAAAAACTCGAATCGTTTCGGATTTTCATTTCCTTATTAATAAGGAGAAAAATTAGAGTTAACCGGATTGAGCTAACTGTTCCACGGAATGGAATATGGAACGATTTCGGTTTTGTTGGGCAATATTTGTGATAGCATTTTCAAGAATTCTTGCTTTCCTTCCAGCTTCATCCATCCGTTTAGCTGTCCTTTTTAAAGCTTTTTTTGTTATTGTCGCTGGTAATGCAACACAAAATGCATTAGACGATGAACTAAAAATATACGGAAGAAAATGGGAAATGTTGCATTTACAATTTTTCCATTCTTAATTTCATATTAACTTCATGAAACTATTGATTGATTTAAATGATGTTATAAATATTTACAGTAAACTACAGTAAATCTTTAATTACAGTAAGCCTTTACAGTAAACTTTTCATCATATTAAAATTGATCAATATTTAGGATTTGTGAAAAATTAACCAATCACTTCTCCTTCTCCTAATTTTTAAAATTTTTATTTATTAAATATAAAAATCTGTAACTTACTTGCTTTTGATCGGCAATGGACGCAACGGTGTGACCGATTGATGCAAAGAAGCAGCTTTTCGTAAAGCTGTCAATGTTGTGACTGAAATATTGGACGATTCCGAAATTACTGAATTCACGGTTTGGTGCTTTGATTATGAGCATCAGACATATTTGGATAGTTTTCGTATTTATTGAACTTTTTGTTTTGGTTCAGGAATCATCTGAATGTGACAGCTTCTAAATCACAAGAAATGTCATCAAACAATTTGATAATCGAACTGATAACAATCCCAATTATCAATATATGTTTGAATATTAACATTTTTTTTAATTCCTATTTGAAATTCTTCCAAACTAAAATTTATTGCTTAATTTTTAAAATTTTAAAAGATTCAATAATAATTCCAAACATTAAAAATGATTCATTCTTTGATTACGAGCGTTTTATGTTAACAAAAAGTTTTAATTAAGTCATTTTCAGTTTTATGATAAATCACTATCCTATGTGATAGAAATTTTGATAATTTAAGGAAAAATGCTAAAATTTGAGCATCTTAATGAAAATAGTAATAATTAATCATTATCAGAACATTATAAAAAGCAACTTAGAAGTCTTAAATAAATCAGAAATCAGACTGATAACATATTAGTTAACTAAGTCCATATATGGATGAGATCATTAAACAAAGGCAGTTAAACAAACAGATATTTTAAATATCAAAATTTATGTAACTATTTTGATAAAGGCTGCATAGAATGTAATTAGAGGAAATTTCATTGTTGCAAATTTAAAACAAACGACAAATTTAAATAATTTGAATAATTTTTTCAACGTTAATTAAAATGAGCTCAAATTTTTCAACAATTATTTCTACAAAAACAAAGAAAAAAAATTGTGTAATTTAATAAAAGCTTAAAAAAAACGAAATTTTCAGTTTATAAATAATAATTTTTGTTGAAAAGCATTAAACTTTGTAGCAAATAAACGATAATTTTCTGTTCAACAAATTCCATCTAAAAAATAGGAAACTAAAAAGAAACCAATTTGTCGATTGTTAAAAGCTTCAATAATATTTATGTATTCGATCAACAGCAATAAAACTTCTCGACTTTTCGTTTTTTTTTTTTCCTAATTTCATCAAAATATTATTTGTTTTAGAAATATATGCAAAACTCTTAAGTGAGGTATAATTTGCATATTTCAATAAATTTAATTAGCTTAACTTAATTAACTTAACGAATAGTTTAGATGACGAGAGTTTAATAATATCAATCAATGATGCAACTCTCTCTCTCTGTTTTCTGAATATAGCTACTATCAGCTAATATCTTTGTATTTTTCCCAATTTCTTTTCAAATATATAATGTTTTACAAAAAAGCAAATAAGGAAATTAAAAAGAAAACAAAAGAAGTTTTGAATTTCGAAAAAATTTATAAATTTATTTTTTAGGAAAAAATTAATATGAAAGATGAAATGTTGCGAATTTTCTTTGTTTATAAATTAACAAAAAGTTGTTGAAAATGAAGAACTAAGATGAAATATGCAAATTGTAACTTCCATTGTAATAGTATTTTAAAAAGCTCTTTTAGTTAAAACATATTAAAAAAGTAAATTAAAATTATCGTTCGGTTTGTTTGATAAATTTTTTGCTACTTCAATTTAATTTTCATCATATTTCTTCTCATTTCTCATATCATAAGAAGAGGTAAGTTGCACTTTTGCGAAATTAATCACACGTTGGCTAATTTGTCAAATTTAGTTGAACTTTTTTCGGAACATATAAATAAAGCAAGATCGGAGTCTGAAAAAAGAAAACAAAACGAGCAAGATGAACTTCAGAAAATGACCTGAAATAAACTATCTATTTATTAAGTTCATTACTAAAACTACAGTTGCTCTCATTCCTCTTCCCAATTCGTTTCTTTTCAAAAAGAGCAAAATTGAAATATTTAAATTTTCATCCAAAAAAATACTAATATCCAGCTATGCATTATTACTTTATAAGCTATAATGGGCGAATAAATTGATAGCACAAAGTCCGGAAATAGGCATAACAAGAAATCTTCTATCATAAATTTTCTGATTAAAACACTCTTTCAACAGTTTATCTTAAATATAAAATTATTAAAGTAATCAATTATTCTGATCTTTTGCTATTTGATTTATAATTAACTATTTCAACAGTTTTTGTGAAATTGTCTACTACGAAGATGATTAAGAATAGAAGTGCATTGATTCTGAAGTTTTTAAATTCTATAAATTTTTAAATTCTTTCAGTAAAATGATTGTAGTTGATTTTCCAAGCAAAATGCATGAAACTTAAGGATACCCTCAAAAGAAATAAGATTCTATAATTGAAATAGTAACTGAATCAATCTCGCTCAATTTTTCAAAGAATTCCAAATTTCTTTTCCCAATATTTTGAATCATTAATCTAAACAATTTTTTTCTTGAATTTTTAACTCTGATAAAATCGTGTGCCTATCATTGATAAAATAATGTGACCTATCAAAGATAAAATAGTGTGTGATCTATCATAGACAAAATAATGTGACCTATCATAAATAAAATAATGTGTGATCTATCACTGATAAAATAGTTGTAACCTATATAATACCATAAACTTCTTATAATTACGGTGAAAAAAAAAAATTTCGACAGAAAGAAAAGAAATCGGAAAAGATAAAATTAATAATTATGCTAAATGATTTGCTAAGATATTATTAAAACAATGTAATTCAAATTTCTTTTAAATCTAAAAAGAAAAAAAAAAAAGAATCTGAGTAAAATTTCAAAAACAAAAAGAAAAGAAATCCATTTTTGCCACTTTTTATTTGCTATTTGAAATAATTATTTTTGATATGGAAATTGAATTAAAATTACTTTTTCCATCAATGAATAATAGTTGAAGAAAACAATTACATTTTAATTTGATGGAAACAACAAAATGAAAAAAAAAATTCCGCCCGTAAGTATGCCACACACATCGTTTCACTAAGTAATACTATAAAATTTAAAACAGAAAAATTTCAAATTTTGAAGTGAAAAAACAAAAAAAAAGAGGAGGAGAAACGAAAGAAAGTGAAAGCAAAAATAAATTGGAAAATGCTTATTAAGATATGTTTGCAAAATGTTGTAGTTTCTTCATAAAGTATAAAATAAGCATTTTAGAATGATGGAGTGAAAAAGATGGAAGAAGGCGAAGATGCTAAAAAAAGAAAAATTAGAAACAAATAGGAGGAAGACGATATTGAAGTTAAAGCTAAAGCGGCAACAAAAAGAAGTGAATTTTTGAGGAAAAATGTGAGTAAAAATTTTTAGGGAAAGAAAAATGCCGACAAATTGGTTGAGATTTCTTCTGGGGATGAATAATAATAACCAATAACAGAAAACAAAAGAAACCGAAATTAACTAGTTGAAGATGGGATAACAATTGATAAAAAAAGCTATTCGTTCATTTTGACAAATTATAATAGATTGAAATGGCTTTTAACTATTTGCTTCAAACGTTTTAATAAACGATCATTTTGAAACAGTCCTATTAATAAATCATTTCACTCTAATTCTTTGCTTTAAGAATATTTCATCTTATTTATTTTTTGCTTTTTGATTTGATTGTAAAAGTTTTGTAGGAAATGTTAGAAAAAAATTACAAATTAAAATATTTCAGCTAAATAAAAGAAAAAGAAAATTGGGAGAGATTATATAAATAATATTAATGTATCATAAGGTTATAAAGGTCACTTCAATAGATGACATCTATTTAAGGTCATTTGGAGAGATTATTTTTTTTAAGTTGTCACTAATCTTGTTATAAATTGAAGAAACATTTCAATATAGTAATATATTGAAATGAATGAAGAGTTGAAATTTTCAAATGTGTGATTTTTTTATAATTGTCAAAACCATTACAACAAGAAGATTTGAAGAAATGGATGAATGTAAAGATAGATGGATGGACGAAGAGATGAATGGACAGATGGATGGTTGGATGGATGGATGGATGGATGAACGGATACATGAATGCATGGACAGATGGAGTGATGAAAAGATAAAGACGATAAATGAATAGTTATTAGTTAGCTGCTATATTAAAACATCATTATGAATCTGTGATAATAAACATTAATCTATCCCAATGAAACTTTCGAAACTAATGATGCAATTACCTACCGTAATCGTCATCTTTGAAATCTGCCGCATTGATATTTTTGCTGTCACATGTGTAAGATCGTTTATCGTATAGGTGGTCTACCTTATTATTCATTAATCTTGGAACAATCTGCAAATTTGCTGATCCGTTTTTCAATTGACGTTCAATCTGATCCAATGCTCGCCGTTTTGTATTTAGAGCACATAAACTGCATCTGCAATATATTACAAATAAAAATTAATTAAATTTATTCATTAAAATTCCGAACATAATTATTGCTAATTTTGCTACATCATTTTTTCCAAAATTTGCAACAATGCTGTAGCATATTGTTAAAATAAAGAATTCAAGAAAAGCAATGTTGTATCGTTCAGAACAATCCCATAACTATTAGATCAAAATTAAATTATTGAAATTTTGCTATAAAATTTAATTAATTATCGATTAGACAATAATAAGAGTGAAATTGAAAAATTTTTTTCAATCGGTCAGTATCATTGAAAAGTGATGGAAGAAGGCTGGAAGGATTGACAGATAAAAAACGATACGAGCAAATACATGCTTTTTTATTGCAATAAAATCAAATAATTCTCGTGAGTATCATTAAAAAATTGGTTTAAAAAGAATTTGATAAGGTAAAACAAAGAGAGAGAGAGAGAGAGAGAGAGAATAGGGGGGAATTTCAGGATTTCAGGATTTGACAAGGTTAAAGAAAGAGAGACGAAAGAAGAGAATTTCGGTATTTCCTCCTTTATAAGTTAGTTTTTTGAATACAAATAAAATCCTTTCTCTTTTTTTCCATTTTAATCTAAATTTTAATATCATTAGAAAGTATGGCCCAATTTATTGACCGATCATTGCCTTTGTTTGCAAACGTTTCTTAGCTAAGCTTAATTTTGCTTGTGTATTTTTACATTCATAAATTAGGAATAAAAATTTTAATTAGGAATAAAATTTCAAAAAAAAAGGAAGGAAATAAAAAATTTTAATTTCAATCTTCACTTATATTATAAATTATAAATGACTTATACTATATATAATTATTTCAATTAAAGGTATAAATAAATTTGAAAATATGAAATAGATATATAAGCCATTTGTAGCAAATTGATTTAAATTATGCTATCAATTCTTTCACATTTGGTTCAAATCTTATCTTAATTATATTATAGCTAACTATAACACGAATGCATTAATTAGTTAAGAAAATTTAACGAATTATTATGGATAATATTTCATTTAAGAAAATAAGTTTAGTTGAAAAATAAAATGAATTATTTCATTTAAAAAAAGAAATAAATAATAATAATAATATTACTAAATGGTAAGAAAAATAGAAATGAAGCAATTGTTCCATAAAAATTTCAACATAAATTACGAAAGATAACTTAAAAAAGATGAAAAAATTAAAATTCATTTCAAATAAATCATTTTATTCGTTTTTCTTTTTTGAAATATAATATAATATGTAAAAATAACCGTTAAATATATAATTAAACTAAATGATTTTCAAATTTCATCAAAATATGCAAATTTAAAAATTGTTTTAAAAGATTCGATAAATTTTTGATTAAAATTAATTAGATAGATAAAATGATTGTTTTGGAGTTCATTGGAAAATGAACCCTGAATAGTGCAACAAAATGAAGCAATTAATCAAATGAACCAGTTGTAGTAATCTTTACCACTGCTTTTCCCCCTTTTGCTCATTCGCTTTTTTCTTTGTCGAAATGACAAATTTGAGAGACGATGATAAATTTTCAACTCTAAAATATTATTGTTCCTTGCAAAAATACAACGGATATATGGAACGATTGAATGAATGAATGAATGAATGAATGAATGAATGAATGAATGAATATATACTGTTGTTGTATTTGTCATTGTCATTTGCATTCATTCAAAAATCCATTCAACCAACCAATATCATATTAATCAGAATTGTGAAAATTGAAATAGACTAAATTAGTATTGAATTTAAATTGCTAATTTAAGAAAAAAAAAAAAGAAAAGAAAGAAAACGAAAAACCTAAAATAAAATAAAAGATTTCATTTTCTTATCCTATCATTGGCCTTTTTTCCTTTAGTTGACAGTGAAATTTTAATGGTAAACTCAAAATAATATTGTCATTATTTTGAACTGATACATGAATTATTACTTATCATAACCTTTCACTTTTGAAAATTTTCATCAAAAATCATAGAATTATGACCAATATGGGAAGAATTGAAATGAATTAGTTTTGAAGAGAGAGAGAGAGAGAGAGAGAGAGAAAGCATCGATGGTATCATTGAAAAGAACACTTCGTGAAAAGTCTAATAATTTATAGCTTTCATTTTCAACTCTATCTATTGCTGACATTATATACCCTTTACTCTTTTTCTTTTAAATTGGTTTAAAAATTTTTGAAAATTTACGATTGATGAGATTTATTGTTTTTCTTTTTTTAGCCTTCATTAAGTAGTATAGTTTAATTGAATTTAATCCATTTCTTCTATTAGCTTAATTATTGATACTCTTAATTGATATTCTTAACAGTCATTTCGGACTTTAAACTATCTTCTATTAGTTTAATTATTGATACTCTTAACAGTCATTAAGGATTTTAAACTATCTTCTTCAACTATTCTTTATTATTTGATTTGGAACTGTTGAAAAAAAGAATTATCAAAAATTTTGATTTGATGCAAACAAATATCAGTTCACGTGATATCCAAATCATTCTTATGTTTCAATTATCAATGAAATTATATGCTAAAATGAAGCAATTATTTTCTTTGATATTTTTATTCGATTTTGAAAAATTATTAGCAAATGTTCAAAATGATGTATTTGTTAACAATGCAGTAATTAGAGATCGTTTTCTTCGATCAGGCTTATTTATGCATGATTTATAGCAAAATAAGTTCCCGAAATATAATAAACCTAAATTATACCATATGATTAATTATACATTTATAACATATTTTATAACAAAGTTGCACAGTCGAATCATCATAAAACTGAAATTGCATATGAATCTGATTTAGTGAAATTTGGAGAAATTTATTTATTATTCATTTAGCTACCTTTTTGTGATTATATGCATGAATAATTTTCTAAATGTTAAAACTTTAAAAGATCAAAAAAGACCGAAAAAATTTTTTACTTGTCGAACAGCTGTCCTCTTCAATCATTCTTTTATTTTGATTTCAAATTGTTGAAAATAAAGTGCCAATGTTTCCTTTCTCTAACATAGTCTTGTTAGTCTTCAAAGCAAATATGATTGCTTCTCTGTGATGATGATTAAAGAAATTGAATTGAATTGAAATGAGTTAAAAATAAAGAAATGAAATGTTTGAGAAGAAAAAGGAACGGAAATTTCTTCTTTCATTGTTTTTATATTTGTTAGTCTTCAAAATGAAACGTTGCAACTAATTTGACATTAAAAAGATAACAACAGTTCATTTCTTCCTTCATAATATTAAATAGAGGTCATTTGATTCATACACGCATATTGTGGATTGTATCCATGCACCAAATGATTGTAATAAAATTTTTCATTTGCAGTAATTCATTCTCTTATGCAAAAAACGAACATATCATTTCAGTATTGAATGATGAAATTGATGTTGGAAAAAAAAGATTTCACTTGTTCTTTTTTGTTGAAATTAAATTGGTACTAATTAATTAAATTTTGGATTACTTTGGTAATTAATTAATTTAGGAATACTTCGAAAATATTTCATCCCGAAAATGAATTGTCAAACTTTTCGTCCTTGGAGACAGAAAAACAAAATAAACATCACGCGTTTACTTTCGTCTGTTACATCAATCTGCGAGAAGTGAAAAAACTCTCAGAGATTAACTGTTTTATGAAGAAAATAGTGACAGAGTATTTCAAAAATATTTTTGATAAATGTTACGAAACTTTTGTTTTTCTTCTTTTGAAATTTTTGCATTATTCATTATTAATAAGAATCTCTTATTGTTTTAGAAATTTGCTTATTCATTTTTTTTAAACTAAATGAAAATTGAAGAGCGATATTTCTGAAATTACCAGTAGTTTCAAATAAGTAAAAAAGATTTCATATGAACCATTTCGAAATTTTCATCAATGTCATAAGAAATGAAAAGAGAAGAGAGAAGTAAGAAATAGCAGAGCATATTATTATTATTAGTATATAACCTGAAGTGATAGTGACATGTATAATTTTCCGGAAGATTGAAAAACTTACGGACAATAACGATAGAGACATTTTTGCTTATGTCCTTTTTTCGGCTGATTAAACATTCCATGATTGGCACATAATTGGCACATATACTGCTCCTTTGGCATCTACAATTAAATTTTTATAATTAATTTTAAATGTAGTAGAAAAGATCAAACGTTATAATTCAAAGATCAAGTATTAATATTTGGGAAAATTTCAATGGTAACATTTCATCTGTTACTTCAAAAAAATTAGCATAAAACACGATCTGACTTTGTTCCATCCGTATGATATGCAAAAAAAAGTTCAATTCTTGCAGCTAATTGTTAATTGACTAACTTTTGCAAAAAACAAAAGGAAGAAAAGTTAAGTTTTTATTTTCTGGGCTAAACGCCAGACAGATATTGTGCAAATATTAACTAATTAAAAAAAATCTCATGCAATTATTGTTGCATAATTCTGATTTGTATCTCATAATGATAACTCTAGCGATTGATGAAATTACTATATAAGAAGTTTGCAAATGAAGAAGTATATCATCGACAATTAGTAGGTATTTATTGCCAACCACAAATGGAATAGCCTCAAAATAGCCAAATTGCTATTGTAGAAAGCAATGGTTATGCTATTTGATTGATATTGATTATAATTAATGACTAAAGACAATTAATTACTTGGCATTTTGCTAAGTAGAATTTAAATTCTAACAGAAATATTATTCTTGCGGTGTTTTAGATACTGTAAAATAACGTGTGAAATTTGATTTTGGTGCTTGTCTTACGCTTATAACAATAATATTAATAGTTGTAATAATAGCAATAATAACCCACAACAATAATAATAATAATAATAAAGTAATGATAACGATAATTATAAAAATAATAATAATAATAATAATAATAGAAAGCTTGAGATAGTGAGAAAAAATCTGGTAGAATATTAGCAAAGGTTTTTAATCAATTTTAACAAATCATGAAATTTGAAAACTTTTTAAAGAAAAATGGATGAAAGAAAGAGGGCGAAATTTGAAGTTTAAAAGGCGGTACTTTATAAGTGAAAGGAGGGGCACAACCAGTGGAAAGCTATAGAAAGCTCACACATTTTGCAACCAACCAATGAAAATGAACCATATACCTTTTCTCTCTCCTCTCTCTCTCTCTCTCTCTCTACCTCTCTCTCTCTCTCTCTCTTTCATTTATCCATTCACTGATAAAACACGATATTAAGCTCAATTTAACAAATTGAAATTCAGAAAGAAATTTTCTTTTTATTTCAAATATTTCAAAAATTAACAATTTTTCCTTAACACGTAGATTTCTGTTATCTATCATTCATACAAATGCAAGTTGACGTCGTGTATTTTGTCAACTTACGTGATTTGTGTAAATTAAATGATAAGATAATTTTAATAGATATCAAAAGAAAAATCAAAGAATGGATCGTTTTAAGAGACATTACTAGCTGATTCAGAGAGATTATTTTTGATATATAGCAGAAATCACCTGTTCTGTCGGCTTCTATCAAACAAAGATCTGCTTTTTAAGTTAAATAATTGAACTGAAACAGTATAATGAAATATTTCTGCTTTGATTGAAAACTGTTGAAGAAATGATTCCTTTTGATATCTTATATTCATTTCTTTCAATTCTTATTAATTATTTCTTCTTATTATTTATTATTATACTTCCAATTCTTACTATTATTTATTATTCAATCCTATTATTTACTTCATGCAGAAATTGCTTTATTTTCATAATTTAATCTCTTATTCATCCATTTATGAGGATTAATTTTAAGTATTTAAGTTCAAATTGTTAAAAAAATAAAACGAAATGTAAATTAATGCGAAAAATAAATTTCCAAGACCGAACTGAATAATGTAAAGGATTATTAGTAATGATCAGAGAGACTAATTTAATTAAAATTAGACATTTGTATGAGTTTCAAAATTAATGGAAGATATACAATAATGCGGAAAATTCCTAATGATCAAATTTAAGCGTTTCTTATAAATTTCTACAGGATTGAAATAACTTTCATTTTTCTTGTTTGCTAAAATATTCTAAATTTATCACAATCAATTCCATTAATATCAAAAGAGCAATTAAAGAATAAAATTAATTCATTTTTGCAATTGCAATCTTAAAATTCGATCGCTATATGTTAGTGAAGAAAAAAGTGAATTTAATAAAATTTATTCAATTCAATTCTTAAAAGCATGCAATATACTAATATCAAAAGCGTTATTTCTACAATTGAAAAAAAAAATAAAATATTGAAAAGTTTTTGACATTCAACAAAAGATAGTATGCAATAATCGATATGTTGTATTTCTTGCTGATGGTGATGATGTTAATATTGTTGTCATTAATTTTGTTGTGGTATGTTTATAAACAACGTAAGTTGACAATACTTGATGATAACGAATGTTTTGAACACAAGGTACAAGTGGGAAAATGAATCGAGTTGCCGAACACTTAACATTTCTTTAAATATCATCAGAAATAAAGATTTATTCTATAAAATAAATACAAAGTGCATGATACCAACATGACAACAGCGAAATTATCCTAATGATACTACAACAAAGTTGCACATTTTCCACACTATCTCTGTTTATATATCTTATATGCATTTTATAAGTTAATAACTCCATATACTTCTTTTCTTACTCCACGTAGTCCACATACTTCTCTACGTCAGCTTCTCTCTAATGATATGTCGAATGTTTTTTAGATAAATATATGAATATGAAATCTTCCAGGTAAACAAACACATCGACAGATAGCTATGTAATTGTCATAATTGGACAATTGTGCAATTTTTGTAAGTAAATTTGAAAATTTTGAATACTGAAATTTTTATGATATTTAAAATTCATTATCATTTGCAAAAGATGGAAGGTTTTTGAGAGCAAAATGATATAAGTTGTAAAGAAAGGAAAGAAATAATGCTGCAATTTAAGCTACTGTAAATTAGAATCTATCATAGATTAATTTAAATTTAAATCCAAAAACTGTATGAAAAAGTAAAAAGTTATTAAACATTTAGCAAAAGATTGCAAGAAAAAGAAGTTTCTCCCAAGAAAATTTATTATTTGAAATCTTTTTTAAAAATTGAAAAAGCCGCAAATCAAAGGACCTAAATCAATGCATCGATCCGCCTTGCAACGAAGTGAACATGTCTTATTAATAATATATGGAGAAATTTTCCGTAAATTGTGTCAATAAATTATGGTGCAAATATTTTTCCGAAGCTTGAAATTTCTTGATATCACTATGAAATCGTTTACTCTTTCTTTCATTTTTCTTCTCTCTCTCTCTCTCTCTCTTTCTGTTTTTTTCGACGACCTTTTTCCTATTTCATTTCACTAGTGAATAAACCACAAATACAGAATAGTAATCATTTTTCCTGCTTTTTTAAGAGCTTGAAATTAAAATTGTGGCGGTATATCATTTCTCTTTGATGCCCATAGCTTGCTGAAAAATATTAACAAGCTGAAACTTTGGGTCGTTTAAATTGGGGCGCAAATGGACTGATACTTTCCCTTGAATTTCGTGCATTGATAAATTTAAGATTTGTGAAATTTCCTTTCCTTCGTTAACTGAACATTCATTAAATGATATTTCCAGCAGAAGTTTCGGAAGAATGAATTGATAGGCAATTTTTAAAAAAACTTTAAAAAAAAAATGAAATCATATGCAAAAAGAGCGTTCTTAGAACTCTGTTAGAAATCAATGATTTCGTGATTGTTTCCGGAAAAAGAAGCATAACATCAAATACCAAATCAGGTAAAGATCCGTAAAGCATCCTAGGATTTTGTTGTTTATTAGCCTAAAATTTACTGATGAAAGTCAAAAGGAATTTTTTTCGTTTGAGGGAATGAGAAAGCCATTTGAAGGGATGCAAACTGGAGGTGTTAAAGTTAATTCATCAAAATTTGTTGTTTGAGCAATTTTTGATCGATTAAAATAACTTTCATTTTTTAAACTTTCATTTAGCAAACCTATTAGCTGGATACAATTTAAAGAGTGATCAAAAGTTTTCAAACCTAAATGCTAATATAAACCCTAATTTTATCACTTGAATTATTACTGTCTGTAGATAATGAAATTAGCAAATAATGTTTGGATATTTTGAAATTTATAGCTATCAAATAATTTCATTGAATATATTCAACTGAATAAAAATAATGGCTGAAATTCTAATTTTATATTAAAAAATTGAATTTCCTAACTTATTTGCAAAACATTGGATTGATTGGCCTGAAAGGAGTACAACTGCAGAAAACAATTCATACTTATCACAATATAACGACTGGTTAATTTCATAAATTTTTTAAACAAAACATTAACCTTTTAAAATTATTAAATTGTGTAAAAGTAATTTCAGTTTGGATTAGTGAATTGAAAGCATTATAAGTGAAGCTCAAAATAACCCTTATTAGTTATAGAAAAGATTAATAAGGAATAATAAATTTATTTGTAGCAAGGAAACCCGCGCATTGGTATATGAAAAATTTTTCCCACAGCAAGCTGGTTGTGGAAATATTTTCCTTGAAGCAATTCGTCCGCCTGCTTGATTGAGGAAATGAACAAATAAATATTGCAGATGAAACAAAACTCTGTGCCCTAAGTTGTTTAACCTTTGAAATATCGACTTAGACATTTAGTTCTGCATTACTGTTGGCAGTAATTGGATTCTTTCTGATTACCAATGTCACCTGGAGGGTTACATTCGGACTATCCTACGATTTGCTAAGAATTCTTCTCATTTACATTCATTCGGTCGGCATTCAGAAATCTGTAGTGACAGCAAATCACTAATTAGTGACAACAGTCTTTTTTGAGGCAAAACAAACTTTTAACTGTGCTTTATCGCTTGTTCCATTTTTCGTTAAACAAAACAATTCAATCGAAAAACGGCTTCTTATTGCTTATTATAAAAGAAAGCGACACTTTCGCATTATGAATTCTTTGATTATCGGTCTACCGGAAAATCTCAATATGACCGGCATTAAATTCTTCGGTACTTTTGTTGTAATTGTATGAGAATAAAAGCTGACGATTAATTATCAATTCGACATTGTTCATTTCTAATGGCCGATCATTACATTTTTAATCTT